GAAAGAAATGAAAATTGAGTGGAGCAGGGTAGATGAAAGAATGAGCGGGAATTCAAGGGGAGAGCCTCAAAACAGCCTGTTTTTCCTTAGTCGTATTGTCGTGTGCAGCAAATGAGATGACTAGTAGCTGGTACCGTGCGATGACTGCTGTTGCATATCAGTATTTTGGCCAATTGGTTCATAGTAAGGGCGCGTAAACCTGGTTAAAAGATAACAAGAACCTGCAACTAAAGACTTCACTCTAAAACCTAACTGCAAGGGAGGGGTCCCCGCCGTGCAATGCAGAAATAGTGAGCTTTAAGGAATAAACCGCGGTGCATGTTCCAGTTTCCAGACCCAGGGTCCGGGAAGTCGGGTTCATCAAATCTCTATTCATTAACTCCGGCATGTGGCTCTGTATTCATTATGAGTGAATCCCAATAAATCTCAGTTGGCATGAAGATACAGAAACAGTCGAGCCTCGATTTTTTCACTCAGTCAAGTGTTAACCAGGTGGTTGCCTAAACTTTCAAGACGAGTCTACTGACGCTTAAGTTTATTCGTGGTCTTATTGTGCTGTCAGTCTGCTAAAATTACTAATTCTGCGCTTGGTAAGCCAGGTGGAAAAAATGGCGCATTACAGTTAAAGCGCCCCGAAATCCTACAGACTAGCACTTTCAAGTATAACCTTCCACAAACCCAAGTACAGCGTTCGTGTTTATTGACAGCCTCGTCCGAAAGTCATGCAACCGAATGTAACGTCCAAGTGCAAAAATGTTGGATTCTTTTCACTTCTTTCAGAGCACTGGTTTCTAATTCCGTTCGCCAAGAGATAAATCTCACGGCTTCAAGCTTACCAGAATTGATCTGGGGATTGGTTTTTCCTGAACCATTCAAATTCTTGCAGTTTGTCTTGCATATTGGTTTCCGAGCTTTGTGTTCAAGTTCAACTTGTGAGTCCAAATCTGTGGCTTCAACTTGATCATTCTCAGGTAAATCTTCAAATAAAAAATTTGCGGTGATATACATGACTAGAGCATGCCCTCGGGACCGGCGATACGCGTATTTTTCTGTGCTTGCGGGCGTCACTTACGTGTGTTTCGTATTTTGAGTACAGCTGGCCAGAATACTGGCTGTACGATTGGAGGTCGTTTTTATTCTTTGCGTCTGCGCATCACGGTTTTTCACACTATGGAGTGTAAACCACTTCTCATTTTCAAAAATTTGCTGAAAACGTTTCAACGACTCACGGCCGGTTTTGTCCTTGCTGGGGCTCATCAGGTAGGCGCAGTCCCTGAGTTTCCGTCACACTTATGTTTGAACCAAAATTATACGAATTTAGCAAAATACTCTCAGTTTTGACGAGAGACTCACCAGAAACCCAGCTGAACCTCTCGTTCTTCATGGTCTTGAGCAGTTTCGAGTGGAGTAGCGCATTTCATCAATACGATGCAGCACATTATCTCGAACATCGTATTAGATGGAATAGGGGTGGCCTGGTGAACACATTCAGTTGGTAATGAATATTGTAATCCAGAGAGTCAGCTGGATTCCAAGCGAGTCTCCCGTCAAGAACAAATTGATATGCTTATTAGTGTATTTCGCTCCCTTCTTATTCCTCGATTCATCTCTAACAATGGTGGGCTTTTAAAAGTAAGAGTAGGGAATTACTGAACCGCTGTATTCGCGGTTGCGCGTGTCAGCAAGTAGCTGAACACCAAGGACGTCTTGCGCGAATTTCAACAGATATGTGTCGCTACCGTTTTACTAACTTTGGAAGTGATCGGTTTACCTTACCGCCGCGTGACATTGGATTTTGAAAACATTGGAAGACGTTAACTGATGGGCATGGCACCAATCAACATCTAGGACTGCATAACACGTAACTTCCCCGACAGATTCAATGTTTTGGTCATAGTGACGGATATTTACTACAATTAAAACGCCCATTTTCTTGTTTCCATGACAGCTGACGTGATTTTCAAATTCTGATTTGACAGAAGTGAGCAAGCCATACTCCTTTCCTATCTTCCCTAAGCAGATAATTCCAAAATAGGACAGTTGTGCTGAATTCTTAACCGCATTCATCCTTTAGGCATTTTTTAAAATCTTGCGTGCCTCGTCTGAGATGACGATTTTTGGCTGCGTAAATTGTACATCTCGGATGCATTTCCCATGAGATACTTTTAGCCATTCTTCTTCAGTTGCACCCGTCTTTTGTTATATAAGGTTCAATGCAACCGCAAAAGACAGACGGAATCAAACTTAGCTTGTTTCTTAATAACAAAGAAAGGACGAAAAATTTAATTTGAAATCTACTAAGTTCGCTGAGTTTAAAGAAATTCTTGGGCCCGATTTATCAGAAGTGGAAATCTACCATCTGAATGTGAAAGCTAACACGTTGACGAACATCTGAACTAATTCACCAAACCTACTGAATTCAAGTGACCCGGTTTCCACGGGGTCGGTTTGATTTCTGTTTAATGTTTTTTTCGGACAAACTAAGCAGGATTGTATACACTTACTGCTCATTGTTTTACGTAGAGTATGCTCAACTCATTCACCAAAGTGTTGATTACACGTTCTAACAAACGCAGGTAGGCTTCTCTGCTAAAGTGTTTCTCTCAGTTTGGACAAAATCAACGACATTTATCCTCGTACTCCGTTTGCAAATTCTGTTCTGCAAGTTCTCGCATGCTGATAGAATCGGTGTGACAGCTTAATGACTGCATTTTATTTCTCACTGGCAGGTTTTTATATTATCATCCTAATTCTGGACAAATTCATTCGCCGCGACAGCATAGCTGATATCGAACTTTCTACAGACTGAGGAAAAAGCACTGGGAAGTGTAAATAATAATTGATCGGATTTCGGCGCCCGTGCCAACCGAAAGAGGAATAAGGGCTGAGTTACTTCCGGGACACCTAAGGATAGCTATGGAGAAACATAAGTTGAGTTCAGACCACGGAACATCCGGTGAGAGTTCGCTTCTCAACCAATGAACTGTTTAGAGCTTGCATGCATGAACTGATAAGAAGCGAGCAAACAGTCCGTTAAAGAATACATGGCATTGTGTTATCTACAGACAACAAACAAAACGAAAAGACCTCGGGTGTGAGGGTAACCTAGTTTTGCGTCCTAATGTTTGCTAAGAATTAAATCGCCTGGCGTGTATAGAATCACTTCACATTTAGTAACATGTCGGTCTATTCATGTGTCTGTTATCCATTAGACCATTGTTGGCAGGTTTTTCGAGTTTGGCTAGTGATTTGCATCCGACCGCTCATTGTACCGCGACGTAACGTTCGAAACCTAATTTGAGGTTAACATCCACCTCATCAACAACCAAGCCCTTGATAATCATTCTTCATGGCAGAACGCATTTGCATTTCACATGGGTGATTTCGCTATGTCTAAAATGTCACACCTGTAGTGACAAGTGATGTGAGATCCGAATAACGTTGACCAGAATCTAACGTGTTGGGCACCACTTATAAATAATTATAGCAGAAAATTGGTGTTCTTTTCGGCAACGGTCACACCGAGTTGAAGCCTATAAGGATACATGATGGGGAAAAACTGAATCACATATCCCCACAGACTATGTGTACATAGATCTTTAGTGAATAATTGTCGTTTGTAAAGCTGATACAAGTCTAGATTTTTCCAGCTTTCGTTCATGTTTTTGACGCATTTTGTGTTGCGGTGTAAAGTTCAGAAAGCCTCTAGGCTTTTGGTTATGACTCATAGCTAGGGGACATATTAGATCCCAAATTTGCACGGCGAAATAAACTGCTAACCACAGAAGATAAGCCGGTTTTGTTATTATGTCCCAAGACAGAGTTTATGGTATCCCAATCAAACAAAACTTTTGTGTTCTCTTGGCTGGAGAACTTCGTCGAACTTTTTATCTTGCATACAACTCAGTCTGAATTAATCGCTCTTTTCCCCGCGTTTCCCAGATTCACTAATATTCACTCGAGTCAGCACGATACAAGTTGAATATAGCGTTCTGAAACAGGTTTTGGCGCAACCTAATTTACTAGGCTTTTAGGTTTTATTGGTCTAAAATATACACTTTTGTTCCCAAATAATGCTATCCCTGTACCCATACATGTATGATAGTTATAAATGAACCAGCCACTAGCTAAATGGCAGTACTCGGAGGATCTCTGTACTTCATCGCACGTTTACCTGCTACAGAATGGTAAAGCCCATTCGCCATCACATGGGCTTTTAAGCTTCAAATTTATTCGGGGCTTAAAAGCCCAGTGGTTAGAGAGCGAATTTACTCACTGGCGGTCCGTGGATCGAATTCGACCTCTGCCTCTCGACTTCCACTGTCTAGGCTTGAGCAACCTGACAGTACTCCAGCCGTCGTACTTCCTTCTGGTAGCATGGCAGTTAGGTACCGAAAGGGTGCTTCAGCTGCACGATTTTTTTTCTCACTTTACAGTGGGAATTCAGCCAAATGTCCAAATGTTACATATACGTTCTTGTGGTTGCTACAATGACAGCTTCTTACAGTCACAAACAAAAGCGCGCTTTTGTTTTCACATATTTATTCAGAATGACATGCAAGCTGTGATTTGTACATCAAATTTCATTCAAAACGTATTGATTGCTGTTCACAACAACAGTTAGCGAAACCGGTCAAGTATTTTCATAATTTAATAGTTTGCCTGAAAATATGCTCGTAGCACACAAATCCTTGACAGGAATACGGTGAAAGCGATATTACTGCTGCTTACACATGGTTGCCTAATGAATCTGTTTGGATTATTATTATTTTTCCTTCTTGACTTGCAGGTAAAAAATGGTTGGTTTTAAACGCTGATGACAGGTTTTCTGTTAGTTCCATATCTCATCCAGTGAGACTCGGTTGAGTGAATGATCTTGTTCATTCGTTTCGTTCACGCTCGTTTGTTGTTTGATTTATTTGTTAACTCTTAGTATCTTCGCGTTTTGACTACTGTCACACGATATCGTTGTCCAAACTCGGTTTTCTGTTTTGTTTCAGTTCGACGTAATGCTGTATGTCATAGTGAATGCCTGCCCGGTGCAGGCTGCTGGGGTCCAGGAGCTAATATGTGTCGGCACTGTTGCAACCTACAAGCTGGGGATGACTGCGTCGCCGAATGTACAGATCGACCAGGATTTTACGAAATTCCGGACAAGTCATCAGCTGAAAGTCGCTTTGCACAACACACTAGAAACCCAAGTCAACAACCATATTGTCCCACTTTCCCGGCTCTTGCGACGCTAATGGATAATCTGGATGAGACCACTTTTCGGGTGTCGAAAATTCCGCCCAAACAATGTGGACGTTGTCATCCGGAATGTGCTGAAACCTGTTATGGTCCAGATGCACACGAATGCATAGGAGAGTGTAAACACTACCGAGTATGTTTTGCCTATATTATGTGTTGTTTACTCGAAATTGGTGGTTGCGAGCACCTGGATGACCTGCGTATTTGAATCAGCTGGATAAGTAAACGTGATTCGAATCTCTTCAGTCTAGTGTTTAGTGACAAATGTGACACCTGTCGCCTGAGCCTAACTTGAACTGTGAATAAGCACTTATTTAGCTACTAGGTATCCAGATGAAGTACTACACTTAGCGGTTTCGGGCGTTTTTTATTAAGGGATCGCTTTTGGAACTGATTTAATCTGTTAGGCTTCTTATTTGTGTTAGGCTTTCCTAGTCACGTGTCATTTCTCACTGATTAAGACAACATGTGTTGTTCGACAGGTTTGTTTGTTCTCACCTCACCGAGGACAGCAAGGGGCTTGTGGGTGAATTCTTTCTGAATTCTTTCAGGGGACTCCTGGTGCCTCAGGCCAAAGGTAAATCACTTGTGGGTGCTAGGCTTCATGGTTTCTGCGCCACCAGTCTTCCGTTTGATTCAGATGGGCACAGGCCTTTTGGCACAACCGCTTGATGTTAACGTGACAGCCCGACTAGGATATATGTGGCTGGATATTTTGACTATTTTTATTTTGTGGATGTGTTACTCGTTTCAACACAAATTAGGTTTGCACTCGGGTTGCTCAGTGGAAGGAGAGATAAGTGGTGCTCTAGATGAACCGGTAGTAAGTTCATTTGTTATTGGATTACATGCTCACTGGAAAATTATAATGCTTCAATTTGAGCCCCAAATGTTTGGTTGGGTTTGCCGCGAAAATGTGGCGTCATGTTTCATTTGGCATGATATTCAAGATATCGCTTTCTAAAAGTTGATAAAAAACCGCAACATCTCGCTGGTTGTTTCGCTCTACTTGGGACTCACCAGACAGATACAGTTATCAAGTCCTCATCGAATTTCCTTTGTGTTTAATTGCCAAACCAGATATCTGGTCAAGGTGATTGACTGCGAGATCTACACAAATCGCAACCTAACCGGATTAGTCGTATCGGGACAGGGCAATTGCTGTTGCTATGACAATAGTGTGGCTCCTTTTTGCTTAACAGAGCAAGACTCGTTCTGTGGGCCGTGTTCGACAAGAATACTTTTACCCAAACCTTGATAGTCAGTGGATGCCCGTGGTGTCTTGTTTACATTCACAAATTGTAGCAAAGATCTCCTTACCTTAACAATACCTTTGGGAGACAATCACTCAGTCGATAACCGGCACCTCAAACTACAATAAAGCACACTACACTACAGCACACACTATACCCAACGTATATGCCAAGCGGTCGAACCACAGCTCCTGTTTCCGAATCACGTAACTTAAATCACGAAACGAACACTCAGAGCTCTTGACCATTCTGCCAAAACGGTGAATAGTTGTCGCTCAAACCAGTACTCCAGTATTTTGACCTTATACTAAAGAATGATAGTCTAGCAGTCTTATTCACTGCGTTGCATTAAAAAATTGCCCTAAAGTGATGACTGCACCTCCGACCTTAACTGAGAGACCACCTGTTCAGTGATGCTGCAAATAGACTGCGCTTATTTTGGTAACTTTAAACAGGATCAACCTGGATGGGTGGAAAAATCAAATCTGATTAAAACAGGCATGGATTATTTAGTATGGATATCGGGCAGACCGTGCTGAGTGTTGCTACTCCTCCGTAAAACGAATTTGTAAGCATAATTTCACCCTCTGGTTCACATCGGTTGAAAGAAAATATGATGGAAAAAAACCTGACTTTTTCTTGCGAAGCCGCTCTTACCATTTCGCTAAATAAAACTTTCTCACCTTTCAAATCTTGTGCAAACGGAAATGTTTGGCCTTGAAAGTGCTGTTTTTGGAACGCTGTCTTGTTAAATTCCCTAAAAACACAATACCTTATGATATATCGCTTAGTGAAATGCCATTAGAACTGCCCTGTTTTTGCTTAGAACAATGAAAGCCGGCAATCTGGCGGTAAGATGCACAAATACATAGTACACATGTTGCTACCCGACTTCGGACTCAGTGAAATCAATTTTCAAAGAATAATGTGATACACACTTATGACCATTAACCGCACTGTCAAAAGTTCAAGGGCATTCATTAGTTTCAACCGGCCTACGTATTTCAGGCCTCCATCCGACCAAGCTTCGCATAATTTCGACATTAATTTTCTCTTACTTCCCAGGAATAATGTATAATAGTAGTGTGTTTCCTACGCTTTCCAGTATTTTTAGGCTGCATACTGGATCAAGCTATTTTCCTGAAGTTACCAATCAATAGACATACTTTGGCGAGTTAGACTGTGTAGCTGCACTACCAAACTGAAAGGTCGTAGGTCTCAAGTACGTCCTGCAGTCCGAGAATTCGCACGGCTCCAGATCTAAATCGATGTAGTTCCAACTCGTCTGTCTGCTTTCGCTTTAAAATCACAGTCGAAAATCACAACCCAACACATTAGATGACCACCACCAAAAGTGTGACTACTGTAAGGTAGTTTCTTCTCTGTGTATTACCAGCAGAGCATTATTCTATCCTGGACAGCCGAGCCGAACTTTCTTCGCCACTAAGCGTTATATCGTTTCGTTCGGAACTCCAGCTTAGGTGACTTGTTGCCCCACTCTTCCTCATGTAAACATCACTGAATGCGTTTCCGCATGTTTTTACATGCAGAGAAATATCTGTAGGCTTGAAGGGCCCTCAATTTCATATGAATCAGCAAAGTGAATCGTCTCTTACTTTGCAAGAAATAATGATCTCAACCTTACGGAGACAGGGAAAAAGGGATCATTACTCACAAGTTTTGAGGATCAGTCGGCTGACTCGCGAAGCGAAGGCCCAGCTGCTCTCTAGTTGTTAACAATACGACAGTTATATATGCCATCCTCTATTTAATCATTTCAACTGGCAAGGGTATATCTAAGAACGCTTCTCATTTCTCGGATACACACTTTTTGATGAGTTAACAAAATGAAACTCATATCTAAAAGCAAAGATGTGACCCATACACTAGTGAGCCCCGAGGTCAGGATTCAGGAACAGATCTTTTCCTGATGTAGAAAAACTGCTGGATCACCCACGAGTCCAACATATAGCCGATTTTTATTGAATAGAGCCGAATGAATCTTGCTATGAACGTACCAGGTCCTATTAAAAATCCACCCAAAACTAACGTCAGTAATATGAAAAGCAGGCACAGAAAAATAAGGGGCCAACCCAGCTTGTGTTGGTGGTGTAGTGATAATGGGCTCCGTACCCTATTGGATATCCACTGTTTGCATCCAAAAACGGCCGGGGATATAAAACAGTTATTTATTTATTTGGCTTTTTGTGGCGAAATAGTGGGGAAAATTTATGTAACTTCCGAAATAGTGACAGTATGGCGTGGCTGGATAAATTTCCCCTCCATCATTCATTTTTTAGTGTTCTTCTGCCAATTGACCAATCTTTAGCTGACCTTGGCGGGGAACCGTTACTTACTGCTTCTCCCAGTAGGAGAAACAGACAGTCCCCTGACTTTTTCGCGAATCTTAGGATTTCGTGCATCGCATCTTTGTATCGATCCACGCTTTCGGACCAACGTTTGATAATTATGACAAACGTCGATTATTCCCCGTTGATAATCCTTGATTTCGATAAAAACACCGGAAGTTTCCATTTTGTCTGAAGTTCAACTGGTGTGCGTTCAAGTCTTATTTCGGATAAGACAATTTGTGACGTACAGTGGCGCAGCTGATTAAATTCCATAAAGCAAATCTCCGCAGCTCTGTTAACGGATGACTCATCACAACGTAACTTAGGTCATTGACTGTCTAAATTCATCAGCCAAATATGTTTGCCTTATTTCATTATATACATGACGGGAAGTGTTCAGGTAAATTTACCCTAGGCAATGTAAAGCGAGGCCGTTGTATCATAGAGAAGTTTTGGTTTTCTATGTGAAATCCCTCGTTTTCTCTTTATGACCTTCACCGGTTACACCATAACTTGGCCCATCAAAATCGGGTAATCCTTTGAAACGTCATTCACTGTTTTTGAACAGGACAGTGTAGATAGACTTTACGAGTTTTCTAGAAAACGCAAGAAGCGTTTTTATTTAAAGTACAAATGTTGGTTTTATGTGCCTGCGTAACGTTTGCATGCTTATTGATCTGGTTCACGGCTGTTGATTTGTTTTGATAGGACTAATGTGCTTCGAAAAAACAGAAAGGTGATAGTTGCCTTGGTGTTGTGCTATTTTATGAGTTACGTTGCTGTCGCTACAAGAACCTGGATTTTCACCTCAAGCATGTTCTGATAATTTGTTCACGCTAAGGATGCTCGCTCTGTGAAAGATATTAAAAGTCTACCAAGTTCCATTAGATGGAAACAATCCTACATCAAACTTTCCAGTTAACCGATTTGCGAAATAAATTACTGGTGACATTGTTATACTCTGTAAATACGTGCTTGATTCTGCTTACGTAAATGGCGTCGAGGTATTGGAGAACAATGAAGGAACTTCACAGATTAGGTTTATCCGAACAACCCTCGAAAAGATTTAGCTGTATGCTTGCCCAAGCACTCACATAAAATTTACAAGTAGTGTAGAAGCAGTAGAATCGTTTGTCTATTTGCCGAAGGTTTCTGATTTCAATGCTACTAAACTCTTCCATGGCCTTAGTGAGACTAATCAGTATCGAGAAATGGTAATTCGAATAGCCAGTCAACCTGTGACCACATGATGAGAATCTGGTTATTGATGTGTGACTGGGCTACATCGTTTCTAAGCGTTAGTTAGTGACAATTCTGTCCGGCCAACTGTCCAAACTGCCAACCGGGGTTTTGAAATTTCCTGGAGCGAATTGCTGAGGATTCCCAGCAGGGTCAAAACATCTGTACAGTGCTCCTCAACTTTTCAGACTAGACTGACTTCCTTTGTAAGGCGAAATCTTACTAGCGAAATGTTTTGTTTGTGAAATCCTGTAGTGCGACATCCCACCAATTATCTACTGATGATGAAAGATGAATGAGATTTTTACTGGAAAGAACGACTGCCAGTTTCGGCAAGTTTTTTTTTCAGAAACCACATACACTGACGAACTAAACAAACCTTTCAAGTTTTCTAAGAATATTTGGCACATCCGAATTACAGAGAGCTTATGAATGAAAAATTATAAACCACGGCCTTCAAGTTTTGAAGAATTTTTTTCAGTATACTATTATAACCCACGGTATTTATTCCTAGCTGAGCGGCAAATTTTATTAGACCCATCCGGTTTACTAACATACCTGAGCGGATGAAACTATGATATTTCATTATAACTGTTCGCCTCGTTGCTAATTCAGCGCCGTTCGTACTCCATTTTGGTTGCATTCGATTTTTTGGCTGGTAGGTTGCCAACCGACACACGGAAGCAGGGCATTCGGGACATTGACATATCTTTTGCTGTGTCAGGACCTGCGGAGACCAGCTTTATAAGCATTAGGAACTACTGAAAGTAACGTGATAGGACGCAATAGATCAAATAACTATGCCACTTTTTTACTTGCTAGCTCTACTATCCTTTCGTTTTGTCACTCTATTCTAGTCCCATCCAGAACTTGTTCGGCAATTCCATTGTAATGTGACTATGGTAGAGCGAAAGTTCCTGCAACTGATTGAGAGAGCAGGAGAACAGGACTGTCGGATAGCATTCATCAACCTTGTGGGTAGTGTGTTCCGTCCAGTCATCATCATCATCATCAACGATAGCATGACATCAGTGCTCAA